ACACACACACACACATTTATATATATATACACACACACACAAATACTCAAAAGGCCAGAGTACAAAAATTCCCAAGAGATTTTCCTGAGCCACATCATCTCTAACACGCGACGACAAACTGAACTTTATTATTTGTCATGAGTTCCCTGCACGACTTATACTGGCTTTACTCTCTTTTTCTGTCTCTCTGTCAGTCTCTCTCTCTCTCTCTTTCTCTCTCTCTCTCTCTCTCTCTCTCTCTCTCTCTCTCTCTCTCTCTCTCTCTCTCTCCCTCCCTCCCCCCCTCCCTCTCTCTCTCTCTCTCTCTCCCTCCCTCCCTCCCTCTCTCTCTCTCTCTCTCTCTCTCTCTCTCTCTCTCTCTCCCCCCCTCTCTCTCTCTATCTCTCTTTCTGTCCGTCAGAAATCAGTAAGCAAAAGAAGACGGTTAAGAATATTTTTTTCAATAACTTTGCTTTCACTATTATCTTCTCAGTAAGTAGTACTTGTGGCTATGCTTTCATGCTAAAAAAGAAAAGAAAAAAAGGTTGGTAAGGCATTCGCGATTATTCAAGAAAGAATACAATGTTTAACCCATTCAATTACTGGGGTGTTTATGAAACTTATTAGAACTAAAGAGATACTTAACGAGGAAAATGATGATAAGAAAGAAATGAAGGTTAGCTTTCTGCTGTTTTTCAGTAATTTTCTAAATATTGTGTGGTGTGGTTAATGGGGCATTGCGTCGAAATGGTTGTTTCTATTTTAACAGAAAGGTAAAGCCTATCTATTATTTTTTGTGTTTGTGAATAAGTTAGTAAAAATTGTGGAGCAAAAATTATTGAAGTTTGAGAAAGGATAACATTATAATTATCAACCTCGAAGGCTAGCACGATTAATAAATCTGACTTTATACAAGGCCTCAAAACAAACTTTTAATAAATGTCAACACCAAAATGTGGCACGATCGGCTTAATCTTTGAACATTGCAAAAGTTATATATATATTAGTTTACCCTTTATGTGCGACGGCAGAGACCACAAAAATGATAACGGTGAAAACAAAGAATGGAAAAAGAGAAAAATAATATTTGGTCCTACATTTCACAAGAGGAACGTCCTGTTTATGACGAGTCGTATATTAAACCAGCCTTTATAACATCACTACTGCAGGGGTGTGAATCGTGGATGAATTTAAACATATTAGATTGATATATTACATCAATATTAAATAATACCAAGCTTATATTCAAACTATTTGATTGGCCTACAAAAGAAACGTTTGGGATCATTGGTTTAATACTAATGAAAAAGTTATCGCACGTAGAATATGAATGCTGATGGAAAATATACCTAATATCATTGTGAGTTCTAACGCATTGAAATACAACGTGATGATTACATGTTTATATCGTTTTAGTGCTTATAGTCTATACGTGAAATGTATTATATTTGCATTAACAATATATAATGTTCACATTATCATAATGAACCTCGTTTCTCCGTGCATAGAATCTACATTAATGGGAATAGGATTAACGACATGAGTGAAATAGAAACTGAACGATTTACAGGGTCTGAACACAAACTTTCAGCAGGAAAAGGATAAAAAAAACAATGGATAAAAAAACAAACAAACGAACAAAACATTAGGTGGGTATGTATCTTAAAAAAAAACGGACAAATAACCTTAAACTAAAGATTTACTAAGGATTTCGTCTAAGATATTCGTTATATCTGGTTTGCTTTACATGGGTTATGTTACATGGACCAGTCTCCCAAAATGTGTGCCACAATTGTGCATTAATTTAAAAAGTTATACGATAATTCAAATAAAGCAGACACACACACACACACGCACGCACACACGTGCGCACGCACACGCACACACACACACACACACACACACACACACACACACACACACACACACACACACACAACTACTTCCTTTTTCATGTTTTTCAAAATTTCATTTTCTTTTTTTCCTTTCCAAATTTCAGTGCTGTGTTATTATCTAACACTCGAACAAAGCCATAAACGATTAAGTATAAAAAGAAAAATGCACAGAATATCGAGAAAGAAAAATAGAAGAGAAGAAGACAGACCAAAACCTAAAGAAAAGAGATTAATGTGGATAAAATGAGCCAAGCCAAGGGGGCAAGAATCATCTTTAAGGAGCTTCTTACACAAAGACGACCGAGTTAGTGATGGATGGAGGGGCAGCCTGGTTGGTCGAGAGCAGCGAGGGGGGAGAGACCGAAGGATGAGCGAGGGGAGAGAAGGAAAGGGGAAAAAAAATGAAAGATGCAAGAGGGGAGACGGTGAGAAGAGACGAGAGAGGGCGGAAAAGGTTGTGTTTTATTTGCTTTTCATCTCTCAGTCTCCTTCTATCTATCTGTCTGTCCGATTGTCTTTTTTTTTTCCTCGTTTTCTTTCGCTTTTTCTCTTCACTCTCTCTCTGTCTGTGTATCCTTCCCTGTTTCTCTCACCTCTCTTCCTCTCTCCTCCCCCTCCTCTCTTCCTGTCCCTCTCTCCCTCCATCTATCTATGTCTTTCTACATCGTTCTTGCAATACTTAGATGCAGTACGATGATCAGTATAAGTGCTTTCCTGTCAAGTATTATCATATCGCCATTATTTTCTACTTTCCAGTAAAACAACATTTAACTACTAATCTGTAAATGCATCCTCAACATATTACAAACGGGATAGATAATGTGGCAATTTT